AAGTGATGACAAACCTTGTTCTGAGTGAGAACATCAACATAGCTGGAACAAGTATAGAACAAACATCAGCATACAAATATCTGGGACACGAAATTCGCTCTTAAGTAGAGATAACAGACAATGAACTAATACGTAGAATAGGGTTGACATGGGCCAGCTTATGGAAAGCTAAGAGATGTTTTCCAATCAGCTCTTCCCATCTGCTTGAAGAGAAAAGTGTTCGATCAATGTGTGCTGCCGGTTCTAACCTATGGTGCGGAGACGCTAACACTTACTAAGACGTCCGCAAACAAAATTCGAACAACACAGAGGGCAATGGAACGGTCCATGTTGGGATTAACCCTGAGAGACCGAATACCAACACAGAATTGCGCCCCTAGATCGGGACGTAAACGACGCAATCAAAAAGAATATCAACCTTAAAATGGAATCGGGCAGGGCACGTCGCGCTGAGTAACGAAGGACGGCAGATGGAACAAAACGCATTCTTGCAGTGGAGACCCAGACAAGATGCCTTTAGGAATAGAGGACGACACAACAAGATGGACGGGATGACCTGAAACGGAACCATCAAAATTGGATGCAGGCGGCCTCAGGACAGAATTTGTGGGTGTGAACTACGGGGAGGCCTATGTTCAGCAGTGGACGAGTATGGGCTGAAATGAATGTGAGTTGGTCTGTTAAGTCTATATAAAATGTTGACCCGAATAATTACGACAAGACTAGAAAAAAAGTTAGACTTCTATCGGCCCCAAGAACAAACTGGCTTCCGCTCAAAATTGGGAACAAACGATCACCTACAAACAGTAAAAACCTTAATAGAAAAATCGATAGAATATTAACATATTACTGGTACTTATCTTCGTAGATTTCGATACCGTGAAATTAGACCTCATTATAACTGCTGTAAACAATAGTGGAACAGACTACCGCCTTACAAAGTTAGTACAAACATTATACCAAAACGCCACGATGCGTGTAAAACTACATGATACCACCAGAGAAATTATTTATAACGGTCCTCGAATACGCCTTTTAAAAATAGACCGAGATTTGCTCAATCATCTGCGTTTTGCTTACGATATAGTACTTATTATCGAAGATCTGCATGAAGCACAACAAATGCTACAAGAATTAGAAAACGTATCTTCAACCATAGGTCTGAGGATGAACATCAGTAAGACCAAATTTATGACAAATTTGGTTCTCAGCGAACACTTAACCATCCAAAATCAAATGGTAGAATTGACAGAAAAGTACATATATCTCGGTTATGAAATCAGAATAAGCAAGTATAATCAGACCTGTGAATTTCAACGACGAATAATACTTGCTTGGGTGGTGTATCGTTTACTAAGAGACATCTTTAAGAGCAAGATCCCGATAGCTATGCAACGGAAGACATTTGACCAATGCATTCTTCCTATTATGACATACGGAGCAGATACTCTCACTCTCAAAACAACAGCACTAAAAATGCGAGTGGCACAGAGGCGCATGGAATCGATTCTCGAGGTGACAAAAAAAGATAAAATAAGGAATTAAGAGCTAAGGAAAAGAACAGGTATCACTGATGTCGAACGTATAGCCAAGCTGAAATGGAATTGGGCAGGTCACATAGCGAGACTAAAAGGCTCAAGATGGACCAGAAAACTAATTGACTGGCGCCCAAGAGAAGATAAACGCAGCAGAGGACGACCACCAACACGCTGGATCGACACCATTAAACGAATATCCAAGAAATGTCAACAAGACGCACAGAACCGTGAAAAATGGCGAAAAATGGTAGAGACCTATGTCCAGCAGTGGACAGAAGAGGTTGCATGATGAAGTTGGTCTGTTGTCTCCAAAAAATCAAGTGGTATCAAGTCGGATGATCTTATCGGCCACTCAATCACATCTCTGCGACCAATATATCATTGTAGATGAGGCCCTATAAAGATACCTAAAATGAAAGCCCAAAAACCTACTAAATTTTTGTAGTTGGATGGATCTCAATGAAACTTGTTGCATTCTATTCGTGTCAGGAAATTTTGTGAAAAAAAATGATGATGTGAAAATGAAAATTGCATTATTGAACAAGGAAAATGCATTTTCCAAAGTGCACTTCGAAGTGATAAATTTGTAATTTGGAAATAATTGACGGAAATGAGTTCAATATTACTACTCGGGGGTTTTTGTTGTCACTAAACACGATTTCTTCTTTTTCTTCTATACACGATACTTCTTCTGCCGATTGGTGACTTATCTCTTGCTAGTTTGACGACACGGGTCTCCTACATTCTGCTTATGTGGTTATTCCATTCTTTTTTCTCTTTTGTTTCCATATATTTATACTGTCGATCTCTCAGCGTATTTCCTGTAATTCTTCTCAGTCATCTCAGTACCACCATCTGTGCCGTTTCCAGTAGCCTTTGCGTTGTGGCTATCGGGTCTTATTTCTGACATATGCCATTATTGGTCTTACACTGGCTTTATAAATTCTTGACTTAATCTCAGTGTTAATGTGTCTGTTTCGCCATATAGTGTTGTTAAGGCATCCTGCCAGTCTATTTGCTTTTTGTACTTGATCTCTCACTTTTTTGTCCTCCATAGCTGGACAGTGTAATTCCCAGGTATTTTATTTTCATTACTTGTTAAATACTGATGCCATCAATTTCTATTTTACATCTGGTTGGTTCTTTGCTGACTACTATTGTTGCAGTTTTGCTGAGATGAGATTGTCATTTACATCTTGGGCTATCAATATTGCGTCGTCTGCGTAACAGAGTATTTTTAGTTCTTTGTTTCCCATTCTGTATCATCTTCCGTTGTTAACGCTTTTGATGATTTCATCCATGATTAAATTAAAGAGCATGGGGCTCAATGAGTCCTCTTGTCTTATTCCGCTGAATATTTCTATAGGTTTTATAAGTTGTCCATCTATTCTTGTAACCTCGGAAACCTTTTTTGGATGGTACTAGAAAGGTCACCAATGGAGACACTGCGGACGGCAGCCAGACGGTTGGTGAAGAGCGAGTCGTGGGTTCGAAACTAGCTTTTGGAACCGGGAATGGGTCCAACGGACGAAATAAGTAAAGATAGAACAAGATAAGATATAATAAAAAAGATACAGAAATAAACAAAAAGATGGATGGGTAAAATTACCAAAGATTCGATAAGATAGAAACAGGGCGCCACTCAATTTTTTGGGGTTTGAGGAGAAAATTATATATAATCTAATATAGTATAGGATCAAAAAGACTCAAATAAACAAGTGTATACACACTTAGAAAACAATTCACAGACGGTTAAGATAACAAATACGATAAAGTGAGCAAAGCGTCTCACGAGAAATCAACCTTTACTCCACAACGGCCCACCGAGAAGTAAGTCTTTCTTGCAAAAATTTACCCAACTACAAAAAAAGGAAGAAGGGATATCTCCCACTCAAAAATGATCTGACAGTTGTATGTATTTCTCAGAAGGTAAAAAGTTCTAACTAACATCGAACATAACGGTACCCTTCTAGCTACAAACGTGATGAAATATAAATTTCTAGATTAGGTTTTTCCCGAAAACATTACAAGGGCGTTCGACGACAATTACCGAATTTATGAAAAAGAACCCAGAAAAGGATTAACTAAGAATTAGCCAAACCGGCGTCTTTAAATAAATAGGTAGGTAGATTCTTCAGTCATTTTTCGATAGTTTCCCAACAAAAATTTCTGATCGTAAACACGACCATCAGCGTATCATCCACATGGGTAAAAGAAATTAAAAATTATTTAATATATTAATTAAAAAAAATGTTACATTCTGACTTCCATTTTGTTGATTTGGTAGATGTTTTCGATAGTTTTTATATATTTAGGGGAACTTCTCTGTTATACATAAATAGATTACATCTTTGTGTCTTACTCTGTCAAACGCTTTCTTTAACTCAATCAGACACAGAAATGCTGGCCTATTATACTCTATTATACAGAAGATTTATATCCTACAGAGGATATAAATTCTCTGATTTATTAGTACTTGTAAAATTTTAGTTATAAGTTTTAGGTTAGTATTTAACAAGTTTATACCTTTGTAGTTTTCTGGCTGTTTTTTATCTCCTTTTTTGAATAGTAGAATTAGTTCGCTCGTTATCCATTCTTCCGGTATTTTATTGTGTTTTTTATTATGTAAATTATAATATTCTAAGTTTATTATCTCTAATGAAGATAAATAACCACTTGAAAACATCTGATTGTTAAGATATTATATGTGAACCCATTCTTGCAAGAATTCATGTGATTGAGAGTAAAAACTGTGTGGAATGTGGAGTAGATGGCGACCTAGATCATGTACTTTTTGGTTGTGCCAAATATTAATTTGGAATCCACCGTATTATATAATAATATTGTTCATATTACCCGTAAAATCTCCGTTTAACGTTTTATCTGCCCTAGCGACTCAAAATAAATTAATTTTTGATTGCATAATCGATTTTTTGACCAATGTAATATTTTTCTTTAGTTAAAAAAATTGTTTTCTACTTTTTACTTTGTTTTCTCTCCTTTATATGTTTTAATCCTATTTACCGTGGCCTAGTTTTCCTGTGTATGTATATATTATAATGTCCTGATGGGCTCCTGGATATGAAGCGCGTGACCCATGTAAATTGTATGTGTTTATGGATAAATATGTGTATGTATATATAATATATATTATATTATATATTTTTTTTTTTTTTTTTTTTTTTTTTTTTTCATCATTAATCTTTGTACTAATTTCTCAACTTTGTGTTATTTCGAACACACTTTAAAAGCTTGTTTGTACTTTAGATAGTACGTTTTGAATAAGGTATGTGTTGGTAGATATGAACGGTCCTTTTTGTTGCGCAGTGGAACTTTGGCTGTCGAGTTTCTAGCGAAAGTTCAATATAGTAACAAATTGGAATATACTAAAACTTTAAATATTTCACTTTATTTCTGGCGGATCTAATCATCATAGTCTCAGTCAAACTTTTCTGTTTTTAGGAAAGCATTTACACAAATTCGTAGTAAAACGTCAGGAATACAAAGATGGCGACATCCCCGAAGCCATGCGGCAAGCCTTTCTCGAACTGGACTCTCACATGCTCGAAGAAGAGTGTATATTTAGCAAGCCTTCCGGATCGACAGCAATCACAGCGCTTATCAAAGGCGACAAACTATTCTGCGCCAACGTAGGGGATTCCCGAGCAGTGGCGAGCGTGAACGGCAGCGCGAGAGCTCTGTCTGAGGACCACAAACCATCGAACCAGGCCGAGTACGACAGGATCATAGCTGCAGGGGGATGGGTAGATGCCAACAGAGTGAACGGCAATTTGGCCTTGTCAAGGGCCCTAGGAGACTTTGCTTTTAAGAAGAACGGCAAGATGTCAGCTGAGCAGCAGATCGTTACAGGTAAATACATATTTTTATTGATGAAACGCTAAAAACAACTATTTTTTAAATTGTCGTGCATATTTAACATATAGTAAAGCCAATATATACTCGCAGTAGTAATTTGATAATGTGGTCTCCAGAAGCTGCTGGCGTGGTTTCTTGAAGTCGTTAGATAGTTTATTATAAAATTTGGAATTTTTTTTCACATGGAATCTGTAATAAAACGGTTTGAGTAAATAGGAGTCTAATACAATAATATGGACTTCAAATTTTTAAGATAACTTATGTTTTTTTCTCGAAACTAAAACTATCGCCAATAGTCAAACTGTTACATGTTTAGTATAGGTATACCGATTTTCTTGCAAAAACGAGATTTTAAATTAATTTTTGAATCGTTAAAATATAAGTTGAGTCACCTTTTTGTCACAAATAGTACAGAAAAACACTTTCATTGTCTATAATCTTCATTTTCTGTGTTGCCACCAACCCAACTCCGCAATAGACTTGATTTTTTGTTTCCCTACTTTCGGCATATTTTCAAAAAAGAAATTATTGTTATTTTATAAGCACCATATTCATAATTACAAGTTGCTTTGTCAGCTGGTAAAGAGAATTTAAAAACAAATTTACTGTATAATACCTACCTGCATGTTGGCCCTATTCTTCTGATAAATTATTCTCAGATGGGTTTTCCCAAACAATAAAACTTGTAGATTTAGTAGATATTTGTAATAAAATTATTTCGTAGTTACCTTACCCAGTACCTGCTATGAATAATTCCAAAAACTATTATCTAAACATGTATAGAAAACCATTTTATTTATGAGATATTTTCAAATATGTGGTAATATGCTCTTAATCAAGTAAATATGAATAGCATATGCATTTATAAAGAAACCCACAAATATGCTGCATATATATGCACAGGCATTTTGCATATAATCCATTCTCTAATTTATAACAATGTGCCAATGTTACTGATCATAGTGATTAGAATTTGTGGTTCAACGTGAAAATTGTGATAAGTTACAATAGTTGTTAAAACATTTTAATTAAAGTTGTTAAGCATTTATTAAAAAAAAAATGCAAAGGTGATTACATAAGAACATAAAGTAAATTTGCTGATTACCTATTACAAAATAATTATTAGAAACATAGTGGTTAGTTTTAATTTAATATTATTATGAGTTACGCTAATGGAATTTCTGCTGTTTAGTAGTGAAGTTTTGTATTAAACGGTAAACAGTTAATCTTTGAATACTTTTATTTTACAATATCAGACCACAAAACTTTTTCTTTATCGGAATTTAAAACAAAATTCGTTCCCATTTTCTCCTAATGTTTTATATAAAAAAATCTGAAAAGTTACTTTCTAAATTTTGCATATAGTACCAGTTTTTTTGCATTAGAAATTACAGGAGTCCACTGCGAAGGCTGTTAATGGGACCAGATCTTAGCACACGTTTCTTCTGTTTTTCATCAGGGAGTGTATGCTGTCCCCTTCATTTTGCGTATGACCAATAACCAAAAAACTTTATAGTGATCGAAGGAATCTCTAGTTTGCTTACAGTATAATGAAGTACGAGGTTATAAATTTGTTTTTGTTTTGACCACAGCAATTGTCGTAATCTAACACAACAGAAAGGCCTTTAGAGCATTAATTTTTAAGAAATGAATATAAACATAATATCTCGTTAGATCACGGTTACCTTCTCCTTCGTGCCAAACGTAACAAAAACCATTGAATAATCCTAAGTCAAATATAGTAAAGTTATATGTACTTTACTTTAATTTATAGTCATAGGAGTTGGTGTACCCACAAGGTGTCTGAAGAACTGCTTGTAAATCAAAACAGACAGTTATATACCACGCATGCTTTTTTTATCTTTATCTTTTTTAATCTGTTGATCTTTTTCCTTTAAATGACGATCATATTTTCCTGTAAATGGACCTTACTCTTCACACGTACCGCACTGATCTTTCTTAGGATGGAAAAATGAGATATTAAATTCATTCTTAAAATTTGTGAGAACATGGTTATATTCCCATAACTTTTATTTTCTTCCATACAAATTGTTTTATATTCTCTATGATGTCAGCTATTTGTGATTTTTTACTTTTTATATTTTTTATATAATTTTATTTAAGTTTATATAATTTATTTAATTTTAATTAATTTAATTTTTATAATTTTTTATTGTCTGTTTCATCTGTTTGCTAATACTCTTTCCTATTACCTGAAAAGTTCTGTTTGTCAGCAAGTTGTCAATAAGGTTGATTATCTTTCCGCAGGGGATAATACGAGTCATTGTATATATTAATCGCCATATCCAAATAGTATCGCATGCTGCTGTTATGTGTATAAATGCTGCGGCTATTTTGTTTTTTTTTAAACTAGCTTCAATAAAAGTTGTTAGTGATAAGACTTGTTCCGTACAGTTTCGATGGAGTTCAGTGGAGACATTTTCAAGTATCCTGTGACTAATTCTGTTAAGAAGAAGCTTTTCTAAAAATTTTTTTACCATGCTTAGTAGGGCTATGGGGCGGGGGTTTTCTTTCTATCCTTTGGTTTGCCCAATTGCGAAATTGCAATGATCTTTGTTCTCTTAAGTGAGAAAGGAATGTTGCCTGAGTGAAGTATATCAGTGTTGAACGTTGCAAGTCACTGTTTCACGCATGCACCACTGTATATCAGGAACTCAGAAATCAATTTTATTTGTTTTATTTAATGCTTTTATTAAGGTTTTTTTTCAGAGTTTGAAGATATTTTATCCTCTCTGGACTCCAGGTGGTTAGTTTCTCTAATTTTTCACAACAGAGACCATGTCTGCCCGCTTGATTTTTTGAAGTCAAGGATTTCGACAGCCTTTGCATTTTTGGCGTTTAGTTGTATCGATGTTAGGCTCGTAGGCTATTTTTCATTTACCCCTTTCAAGAAACTGCACGTAAAAGTCTTCACATGTTTTAGTCCATCCAGGCACATGTGCTGTGCGATACCCCTAAGAATGGCTTCTTTGCAGCACTTATTGCTGGTTGATGGGATCCAGCTCAAGTGTGATGTGGTCTAGTTGTGCAAAGAACTTCTTCCGGGATCTGATTATTGGTATTGATACGCCGATCGTGATAAACACAGTATGGTGTTGAGTATGTGGAAAGTCTGCAAGGACACTTCTCGCAGCTTTTAGTAGTCATTGATATATTTTGAGACAAATCATAGATCTGGGTTATATTCTTTTCTCTATGCTGCTGATTTAAATGTTCCCCTGTTTATGGCATCTAAACCTAGATATTTTGTTTGGTCTCGAACTATTCTACCAGTGCTTCCCCATCTTCATCATTCGTGGTATACTTCCACATTTCTTGGTGGCTTTTGAAGTAACCGATGTATAAAATGGGGGAAGGATCAGTCTATAACCAGAGATAAATTAAGTACTATGTAACACGTTTCTAAAAAATGCTTGACTTTTAAATGATTTTGTTTATATCCTAATGAATTTAGCTGCGAATTGTTGTCTCTTCATTTTTTCAGTTCACAAATATTTGTTAATAATTTCCGATATTTTTGTTCGCAGCTTTCCCCGACGTCACCGAACACACCATCACCTCCGACTGGGAATTCATCGTGCTCGCATGCGACGGAATCTGGGACGTCATGAGCAACAAAGAGGTAGTCTCCTTCATCAGAGAAAACATTGCCACCGGCCACGAACCGGAAGAAATCTGCGAAGAATTGATGATGCGCTGTCTGGCGCCCGATTGCCAGATGGCAGGCCTTGGATGTGACAATATGACTGTAGTTCTTGTGACCTTCTTGCACGGAGAATCGTATGAAAAATTGCAGGAGAAGTGCAAGCAACCTCCCACGGAGCACGTTGATGTTAAGGACCAGGATACTGACAGTTGAGTTTGTTGAAGAAAATGATAGGAGGCTCGCTCTGGCAGAAATATGAAAGCTTAAGGGAATGAATCAGCTGTATAGGTATTACTGGGAAAGCTCCTTTTGGTTAGGTTTTGATGTTTTTGGCAAACTTACATTTTATCCAAGTCTTTAATATGTTTCCAGTTTTTAACTAATAATACAACAACTGTCAGGTCAAATATCTTACTCTGAGTAATAGTTTCTTTGGGGAAATACTCTCGGGATTGGGAGGAGGGCAAATTTGAAGAATGATGCTCGAATGAGAAGCAATTTTAAGTGCACTTCGTGCATTACTTTTTTCTTCTTCATTTGTGAAAGTTTCTTCTCAATTTATCCCTTAATTCGTACCGATAATGCTATAATATAATATTTGTCATTGATGATTCTTCCTTTCTAAAGATAATCGACGAACAAAATATCTTGCGTCTCCCAAATTACTCAATCCAAACCCTTGTCAGCTGATGTTTGACCTTTTACCACCTGCTGTTAACTCAACTGACTACCCATTTCGACTTCGGTGAGAAGTAGTGGATGCACGTTTCCTTGATTGTTGTATATAGGATAAAACTCTTGTTTATTGTCGTAAAATATTTGCCACAACGTTCTGTATTGCCGACGCGATGTAGTTTTTGATCTACTGTAGGCGAATACGTCAACCACTTAGAACAGAATAAACTTATTGCCAAAGTTTATACAAAATCTTGAATATAATGTCGTCTGCTATTTCACGATCAGCAAAAACGGTTTTGTTAACTTTTTTTATGTTTTCTGGGACACAGCTGCTGAATTTATGCGATTAATGCGTTCAGCATAATTTGTGTCTGTACGGCCACTGTTAAAGGGAAATTCTACGTGCTAACCGTTGTTTCCAACGGAACAAAGCTCGAATAATATTTGTAGTATCGAGTAACTTTTGTTTGAGCGCTATTTTTCCCATCAGGAAGCATTGATTTTTCAACATATGCAATTCATTATGTGTAATTATATGCAATTTATTATAATTCACATCCATTATTTTGAAAATTGCAAAATTATCGTCAGTTTAACTTATAAAATAATGGTCCAACAGCTCAAATCTTCAAGGCGATTTTGATAGTCATAGATGTGATATTATTGTTGCCTGCCATCTAAATATCACAACCGGATCTTATTGAGGTTAGGTTAGGTATGAGTGGGTGCTTAATTCCTCTTCCACTCGACCTAAGAGATCTATTGTGGCTCATCCCTAGGTTTAAGTTGTCCCTTCGGTTCAGACTTTTTAATAAAGTCTATTATGGCCGTAGTGGTAGTTCTACGAAGTCATAGGACTCGAGTTGGTAATGCTCGAATGTATTGGGTCTTATCCTGTCCAACCCTGGGTAGTTGTACAGAACGTGTTCCGCTTCTCGTCACCAGCCTGACAGTGTCCTGTTAAGAAACCTATTGAGACTGAACCGTATTGAGTGATTTAGTTATTAATCAGTATGAGAAGGATACCAGACTGTATGTAACAAAAATTGTGCACTATTATCATCAATTAATTTATTATATTGCATGTTGTGGCTTACTTAGTTAAAAATACACTGTTAAAATAACAAAATTTTAAAATAATGTTCTTTTATTTTACTTTTTTGTTATAACAGTGTAGTCAATTAATTTACATAAAAATCCTTACCGTTTATTTATCTGGTCGCCCATTTTGACACTGTGGGGCAATGCAAGCACTTAGTAGAAGAATTACTTTATTTTAGTATAGCAATAACCGATCTTTAAAATGGCCTATACTAATTTTTATACTAGATAACTATTCCCTAATTAGAATACTTAAGCATTTATTTATAAGGTTTTATATTTCCACCGCCAGAGCGCGCCTCTATCGATATTGTCAGAGAGGAAGGTGATATTAAGAGCATTAGTATTTATTTGATCCATTTATTGTTTGATAGATAATAGATAATTTCTTACAATACTGAATTCACTTAATAGTAGGGTGGAAGAACTAAAAAAACTTTTTGTACAAAGATGGCCGGAAAATAAAGACTTGATGCTCGGTTTCCATTCAAAGTTTTTTTTAAACAAATATAGTATAGTTTTTGGAATTAAAACTTTGCACTTTTGTAGTGTTCTGGTAGAAGCTGGTATGTTATTTGGTTATTTTTTTATGATATTAGAATATAAAAACAAGTGATATTGAATATAACTACAGTATAAGTGTCAGTGTTGTACTCGATTTTTATTAGTAGTTATAGCAGTTTCCGTTCATACTTGTTTAATACTGAAAACTTTGCCAATTAGTATCAACAACTACAACTCTTCTCCATACTGCCATTTTTTACCTGCGCTTTAGGCGTAAGTTTTGTAAACTAAACACTTTTTATACCTATATAGCCTTCCACTCCACTATTCGTAGTTTCACACAGCTTCCTACAGTGGAAATTTAAGAAGTAGTCGATAAAATTCCTCCTAAAATGAAGGTATAGCAACAAATACTGCCGTTGATGCTTCTGTTGTACTATATTTGTATTTTTTCATGGGCAAATAATAAAATCACTATGTTAAAACCTTGTTTACACGAACAAAACTGCCCTCAGTGTAATCAATTCCACAGAGTTAAATGCTTTGGTAACGTCCATAAAGTACCGTTACGCACGAACTTTAAATTCATAAAATGTTTTGTTGTCAGACCTTCATTTCCTCTTGCATTTACCATATATTTGTATATTTTTGTTGTTTCAATATTTAAAAAAAAAATCAATTTTTTAGTATTAAACTTTTTAAGATATGTTAAAGTTTTTATTATGTTTTCTTTTTTATCAATTAATTTTCTAGTCATATTTTACATTATTACAATACATATGCGTTTTTAAGATAATTTAAAGATACTTCGTACACTGGAAAACAAAGATGGAAGTAGTGTTAAGTTGTTTTACTTATTTTTGATGTGTTTTGTGCCTTTTACATGAACTTTTAGGTTCTTCTTGCTTAACAAGTCGTATCTAGAAAGCATATTTTTATCTAGTACTTGTAGTTCTTAGATCTAACGTATTTCTACATTCTGTCAGTGACAATCTTTGCCAAAAGCATGTCAAATCAATAAAATTTACGACTAGAGCATTCAGTTTAGTATGTTATGAGGATGTAGTGAAAAATTCTTCGCCTGCTATAGAAGTAAATACAATTTTAAAGTCAAAAGTATTTTATTATTTAACGTATCTAACGTCTTTAACGCCTCTAGACAATTCGAAAAATATATGTATCTTGCTCTGTAAAGCAGGCATCCACAGCTTCTTTCTTCTGCGTCGGAACAAAAGTTACGACTTCTTTCAGTTGAGGAAAAGTGTGATAATCGGACGGAACCAGATCTAGTGAATAAGGAGGATGTTTGAGTAATTCGAACCCCGCATCACAAATTGTTTGTACAGTGTGTAGAGACATTGTCTTTTAACAAGATCTTTTTGTACAATTTTCGCAGTCTTCTTTCTATACTTTTCTTTTCCGTATATTGGTCAGTAACTTCGAATAGTAACTCTAATTACTCCTTAACAATCTCAGAAAAACACAATCTTCTTCAGCAGATTTTTTAACACGAAATTTCTTATTATATATTCCACAAACTGATTCTGTCGATTTAGAAATGACCTTTGAGCATTACGGAGTTCTCGTCGCCCAGTCATCTTTTTTCCAGTCAGTTCGTTCTCATTATATAAGCCAGCAGGGGCAAGATTGATTTACAATTTTCATAAAGTGCTTTGTTACGCCTTAAACGAAAACGTGTGTTTGGTTGTCCAATTCCCTCCAATTTCCCAAAAAAAAGACTTTTTTTGGGAAAACTTTCATAGCGCAAACAGAAAACAATATGAAGAAAAAAGACAGATTTAAATCATCTCCTTGAAATTTATTCTTTTCTTCTAACAGTTGACAAACAACACATGCAATTTAAGAACTCTCTTGACTTCATCTTAGACTTAATTTGAGTCACTCACCATACTATCACATAAATTATAATAGACTTTTTGGAAAATAAAAAAACATAAAATTAAATTTCTTAATGCTTCATAATATAAACATAAAAAAATTTCAACAATCAATCAAAATTGAGTTTTCCACCTCATGTTCAAAGTTTATGTGGCGATAAATCCACATTTTTTTTATTTAAATTGTCACCTTGTGTTAAAACAACTTCAATAGTGCTCAAATAGAGGACGTACTGTGTGAGCTAAAACATCAAGCCAATACCATGGCCACAAAAACCTTCTTCTTGGCCTATACTGAGAAAAGAAGAAGTTTTTAAAGGTTTATATCCAAACGCCAATAAACTAAACATATCGTTGAGACTATTCATATACAGCCTAAACAGAAGAAAATATTTCATTCATTAAAAATAGATATTTGTGTTTATTTTTGTACCATTTTTCAATGTTTTATATGTTTGCAATTGTTTAAAATGATGAGTAGCTTTCAGTATGACATTATCCTCGCATCGTAAGTATGATCATATTAAAACACTGTGATTTCTGATGTAACTAAATTATAGCATTCCCTGATGATGTTGGTGACCACTCAACGAAATTAAAAAAAATAAAGAGTACACATAGCCTATATTCTTTCAACTGTTTTCGTTTTGATATCGTTTTGATATCATACACGATGAAATATTCGTCTACTTTTACAACAGTTGCCTGCTGTGAAATTATATCAATGTACCTACTGATTTGGAGTTTGTATTGTGTATATTACGAAATTCCTTTTCACTGTTTCCGAACACTCTATTCTGCTGGAAGATAGGAGTGGCCAGTTACTGGAAACACCAGCTTTTGAAAACACCACTGTTTTGATAGAAGGATGATCCAACAATTATTTGCAACACATTGTGATTATGGTGGAATTTTTATTCTGACCTCTGCTGCCGTCTGAGATCAGTCTATTGGTCGTGATATTGGTGAGATATGTCTTGTTTAGGTGGTTATACACTGCAGATGCTATTGTATTAGAATATTGTGAGCAAGTGTTTTCTGTCCAGACATTTGGGAATTCGTAGTTTTTATTAAGTGGCGCCTTTGAAGTTCCTGCCACAATAGAATGAAAAATATATACTTGCCTGCTACAATAACACGATTGGTCTGGTACTTTAGTAAGGTTCATGATTTTTTGTCAATCCTAAGTAATTATTTTCACACACTCTTCTTCTGTCTTGAGCAGCAAATAGAAAGCTTTTGCCATCAAGCTAAGAGCTCTTTTTTCTACTCTGAACTGTTCTTTTTTCCTTTCACCTTTCTCTGTTTTTATTTTCTTCAGTAGTTGCCGACACGCTGAGCAAATATCTGTATTAGGACTGTTAAATCCTAAATTTTATTCGGTGTTGAAAATATGTCTCAAGTAAGATTCTTTTGCCAGTGCTGACAATTCATTTTTCTATAGTTTGTACACTTTTGAAGTTTTCGAGTAACTGCATATACTGATGCCTTTTTATCCTTGATCCTTTTTGTCTTTACGGTCTCCTCCTCTTTTTTTCTCTTACTTACGTAAGATTTTTGAACCAAATTTGAGACACGTTCTTTTTTTCAAGCAAATCATTGCTAAAAACATCTGACAAACACTTATAGATTGTTTATAGACTTTTGTATGATATTTTATGGTACACTGCTTGGTTGCTTTTAAAGGAATCTGATCTCCAGTCCTTGGATCCAATCTCAAGGTCTTGATCGTTTTCTTTTAATCGGTAATGCTTGACAGCATTTCAATATGATTTCATTCTTATCACTTTATTACACTCAAAGACTTTGGTTTTATGACCACTACAAAACAAAATGGAAAAATATACAAAATTGATTTTAGCTCCATGGTAGTACAAGTGACAAACTAGAAGAGCCCTTCCAAACATCCATCGGTATCAATCAGTCATAGATTATACCTAAATGCGACCTTTGACAAAAAAAACGAACGAATTTATCTTTCTTTTTTCGCCTTGTAAGCCTTCCAGTTATGTGACTGTGCAGTCCGTTTTCGTGACTGGTTTTTATTAAAAGGCATAGGAAAAACATCCACCTTGATAAAAAATTATAGCTTCCACACGAAATCGCAGGAATTCTTATTTAAAATGCGAAAAACATACGATAAAACTATATAATAAAAATAGCTATAGCAATTATATAACCGGCCATTACAGTTTTGGTTCCAATGAAGCGCTCCTATTGGTTGGTGTGAGTGTAGCCATGTTGCATGCTGATTTTATGTGGACGTAACCAAGTTTGTTTCAAACCATTTTTTTTTAATCAAAATAACTCTGCACTAAACTAAATTTAATCCCAAACTGATTCTTTAGGTAATAAGCAGTCTCGAAATGAAAATGTTGCCATCAAAAAGCCAATTTCTAAAAATTGTGACGTAGCTATTTTTGATACTATACCCACAGAATAATAAACAATCAGAATGCCCACTCTCCATGGAAAATTAAGTACGCGCATCTCCTTAGCGCAGACGTTCCGCCATGTTTTAGAGGGAACCAGTGTTGTTTATGTGGTGTACAAAGAAAAATTAACCCGGTTTAATTGACTTACGGCAATCATAGACATACTATACAATTATATTAACATTGTTAAATATAATAACATAAATATAATATAATTAAACATAAATATAAACAATTACATAACCTCACAAATCATATGTCTGTGTTATGTGTTTCCTTCTAAAACATGGCGCGCGTGCTGAAAAACTTCAAAGGCGCCATCTGAGAGTGGACATTCTGATTGTTTATTATTCTGTGCTATACCCCTGATATGACTTGTCAATACTTCCATCTAGACTTATTTAAATGATTAAAAAAAACGGTATTTACAGAAAGCTAATTTAAAACACCATATAGAGTTTACGTTAAATATGCACTTATGTAATTGCGCTCACTTAACTTCAAATTTTTTAAATTATCATGCATTTATAATGGAATTATATTAACAGTTGATTGTTCAGAAATTAAAATATCTTTTTATGCTTTTAGATGTCACAGAGACCCCCTCTGTGGCTCAGTGGTAAGAGCGCATACCTTTAAACCTAAAGGTCGTGAGTTCGAATCTCACCTGGGTGGAAATTTTCGTTTATTAAAAAAATTAATAAATGAAAATAATTTCTATCCTTGTGTGATCGGTACTCACCGGAGGGACCGCAGACGTTCAGATACAATTAGCGTCTCTTAGCAAAGACAATGACGTCGACTTTGTTAAGTATCAAGACAATTACTCTACACACACAAACACACACACACACTACATTAATAAACTTATCTTGATTGAGACTGGCTGAATGACAATTGTCCAAGCCAAAACACACACAAAAAAAAAGATGTCACAGAATATTCTTCTCAGTTTTTATGGTCACGAGCCTTTCGGCTACCAGCCAGGATAGTTTTTGAAGCTAAGCTTTTATACTGGCCTTGTATTAAATTTTCTCTATAGTAAAATGCAGAGCAGGTCGTCACGACACGACAGAGCAGATCGTCACGACACTAAATAGTTGAAAGAGTTAATTTACTCGACAAGGGGGGTCATTTGACATTGTTTGAGTACCAGCAGATCAAATGCCAGTTAAAAGTGCCGCAGAATTAATTAAAAATAATAAATAAATAATTGAATTGCTTTATTCAATTTTAAAAATAGTTTTTAAATTTTAAAAATACAGAAAACGTAGTATGAAGCTTAGCGCTAGTCTACAGTACCGCCTACTGTGTCACCTTTTTTTTGTCTAATATTACAAATAAATAGTAAACGGCCTTCATGCCTCTGAAA